AAGTAACAGAGTAATCAACACTGTCGGCATCATTACTATTATTACTAGTTGTGGGATGCATCGAATTCCTGTTTTTGTAAAGGATCCTGACATTATAGTCAGTACGACAATTGCATCAGCAGTGCTACCAATTCACAAAGATACATGATGCCGTAATAAGGCTTATATTGGAATCGTAAGCATTTTTATAGGACTGGATGATGCCATCGGAGCAGAGACTTAGACCCAAAAACTAGTACCATTGGAGGATCTATTTATGAATAGGCGAAACGACGTTCCCAAAGGTTCGTAGGGTCACCCGCAGGATGTGCCAGAATTTGCAAAGTGGGAATGGAAACAAACTGTATCTTCCTTATGCTTTCTCCCATCCCTTTGTGGAAATATGCGTAAGTGTATATTAGCGAATAGCTATAACTGTATGTATTTGGGTACCTTCGATCAGGGATGGAGAATATTCATTCATACCTAAAAGTTGGCTATGAAGAACACCGCTGTATTTCCAATCAGAAATTTCAGTTAGGTATTGACGCAGAAGTGACTGAAATTTTCGTTGGATTTCTGGTATTTTGACTGCTCAAGTATTTTCCTAAAACCAGAACATATTTTTTTTACCTATTGGTTGTTGGTACTGTGCTTGTCATTCAAAAGAGGCCTGTAAGTGCTCCGATATTGAAGCAAACGTTCCTTACTTCACACAAGGAGTCTGAAATATGGTGCGTATATAGAATAGAGCGGTAATGCGTCAGGTTCATATTTATCTCCAATACTTATGCGGTAAACAAGCGGCGCACTCGCGTCTGCCATGTTTCCAAGCGCGACGTTCAAATTGCCCTAAGTTTTTTTGTAAATATATGTAACGTTGATGGATTCAAACCAGTGGCTACTCCGCATCGATCCGACATCCAGGAGCTTTAGATTACTCGAGTAAAATCACTTACTTCAGGAACATGATGAATTTAGTTCTACGTGTGTTTTTTTATTTAATACATGAATATTGCTCCTTTCAAAGGTAGCATCACATAGTACTAACGAGTCAACAAAACGAAGTCCAGACATTGTACTCAGAGAGGAAATGAGGAGTTTTTTTGGTTTGATCCTTCCTGTGTTCATGAGGTTCTGAAAAGAGTCCAAACTGCTTAACGTTAAGAATTAGACGAATAAGAGAGGTGAATTCTGTGAAAGTGTGCATCATAGAGGTTTCCTGGGCGGAGGGTAAGTCTACAGCCTAATACAATGTTGGCTTCAAAGGTCCACTAAGCACGTCCTTCGTATCGGCCGTCTCCTTCGTTCTGTTCAAGCGTACTTCCGTTAGACATGTAGGACGAAAGGAAAACCGAACAATGTACAGATTTAATGCACACTCGGAACAAATGTAATGGACACGAACTTTGCTTACTTACTCCACTCGGTACATAGACCTAGTTCTGGAAAAAATAAGCTACATTAATGAAAAAAGTTAGGTATAAAATTAACAAACTGACTCTAGTTTTTTAAATTTATCGTTAATTAATTTTATGCCAGCAACTTTACTTCATCACGAATCAGGTCAAAAATTCCCTATGGACCTTTAGGCAAAAGATTTCTCCCGGCTTATCAACCCAAGCTTCCTAATTTTGGTTCAGTTCCTCAATTTCTATTAAACTCGCTCTATTAAATGTATTACTTCACTTCAAACAGATTTATACATAAAGGCACCATAACATTATATACGACGCTGTTTTTCTCTGTGTAACATGCAACAAGCAGCCTTCCTACAGGTAGATGCAATTTTCATGTCACCCACATATACCGTAAAATCAACTTGATCTATATATTATGTAGATAGAGGAAGACTCTACGATCAATTTAGGGTTACGTAAATGAGTGTTTTAATATTCAGGATCGTTCACTAGTCAATGGTCCATAGCATTGCAACTCTTTAGTACCATATTCTCGCCTATAAACATCTATTTATCTTGGGAATTAACAAGCGATCTAGTAGGCATAGGCAAACCCCAAAGCTTGTTTGTCGTGGTGATCATTTTTGTTACCATCACCATCTTGTGTGTGTGCCAACGTATTGTTACTGGCTGAAACCTACAAATCGACATATTTGTCGTCTTGTTAATCGATCAGGTGCTCGGGGTCAGGTTTTGCTTCACCTCCCAGTTCTTCCAGTACAACGACGACGATGATAACTGAAGAGTTCAGTAATCTAGTAATCATAGAATGGTACTCTTATTGCGAATAGAAGAAAAAAAATATTTGAATAATCGTTTTTTAGCTTTCGATGTTAGTGAAAAGCATCTATTTAAGTTTTTTAAAGATGCAATAAGTGGATAGTCGTATGCAGTCACTTATCTTTTGTTACACTTATTTACTCCATCTGCTGGTGTATATTAAGATGTTGACGGATCCCGCCATTTGCTATAGTTGAGTAAGGCTGATTTACTCAATTTTTGTTTGATGCATTAAAGTAAATTTTTAGAGTATCTAAAAATTTATAAATCCCGCATCGGCGCATATCCTAGTCATCACTTACACGGTAGAAAAACTGCGTCATGTACTACCTAAATGAATTTAAAGATTTCTATGGTTTATAGTACTTACAACATGTTCCGCGTATGTTTGTAACCTAGAAAATCTAAAAAGGTATCAGCCAGTCGACTAGTGATAGAAACTGCTTGTTGCTAAATTAAGGTAGAAAGTTGAGATAGATAGAAAGATAAAACGGGGTACCGATAAGCATGGTGAGATCTTACCTGAATTATTTCGTTACGTTACCGATATAAGGTTTGTTTACGTGCTGATATGAAGGCCGCTGGTCGTCGGCGTTGTTCACTTTTGCTGGACGCCTTCGTCGCTGTCTTCGAGAGGTCTTCACAAGCTCCTAAACAAGTCTAATAAGCACCAAAAGACAGAGAGATAGATCTTGTTCGTGAGCTCATAGTGCGCCTCGCGAACTTCACTCGTTTACGGAACGCCGCGACAAAATTATCACTTCACCATAATATGCCAACATCCGACTCCGTTGCATACTCCAATTTTCCTGCCCATAGTGAAACTGATTATGATTAGGCTCGTAGAAGGGTGTACCGATTTAGAGCTAGAGCCAAAAATTGTGGCTTTGTATATTTCGAAGCCATAAAAACAGTTAAGGAAAGAAATCCAAATCGCCTTTGAACTTATCATGAAGAATAGTGCTATTGCATAATTATGGGAGACCGTACGTCAATTTAGCTAATTCTGCGTCGAAGTTTCTATGAATCTAACCGTTGCCGACGGAGTCCAGCCACTGTGATAGAATTTCGTCGGAAAGCAAATACTTTGCTCATTAAAAACACAGTAGTACTTAGGTACCTTATGATTTGCGACATATAAACAGCTTACGCAGCTATGTTGTTGCATTAGCAGGACGCGTTTGGTGAAAATCCAACATTTACAATTAATATTGAATATTAAATGTTTTTTTTCCATCTTTAAAAGGTGGTATTTTTAGCGTGGAGATATGGAAAAGGACGAGCCGCAGAGCGAATTAGAACGAGTGTACTATAACCTGATTTCTCTTTCTCCGTCTTATCGGACACGAAGTCAAGCGTTTCCCTCACGCAACGTCGTTGTCGGCTGACATCGGTCGGACTGCGTTAGGTGTTCTGTCTCTCGATCAGCTTGACGAACCGTGAAAAACCCGTTTGGTATATAAGTCTGTGCTGTTGTTTCTTCCATAGTGCAACGCTAAACTGTTCTGCAAGCGAAATCAGACAGCCTGATCGGACACGGTGCAATAGGGTAAATTAACGAAAAAAAAAATCACTATATTCAGCTTTTATTAGAAACCAATTGTTCTGTTTAGATGGAATGAACTTGATTTACTTTGTACTCGTAATTAAAATGACGGACCTTACCATATGGGGCTAGCTCCCCGTGGGACTGTAGAAGCTGGCGATTAATAAAATTGCAAAGGTGATAAAGGAAGAAGAGCGATGTAGTTACATTGAAATAGTCAAAAAACAGCGAAAACTAAAAGTTGTTGCTTATTTAGGAAATAAACAATAGGAAGTTGCCCATTATTTCAGTTGACAACTAATTTCAGGGTGGCTGTTTCTAGGTATCACACTTAACTAGACACATGTGCATGTATAGCTAATAGGAATGTGAGTATATACAAAACCATTGTGTATACTCCAAGTTTTACTATCGCATCAAGTAATCTTTCTTCTTATAATTACTATATTTCAGATACTTTAACTTCAAGCTAGTTAGACCCAATCTGTGAGAAGAACGTGCTATCTCACTAACGCGGTAAAATCACGCGGTAGCTATGGTATTTTAGCTTATTTTTTCTTAGCTGAGACTGATCTATAAACAATAAAGTGCTACAGGCGTATTATGAAAATTTCTCCCTTAACCCTTAATCAACTCTTAATATAAGTTAATAATAATTCATTTTTATATCGATTTTATAATATAGGAATAATTTTATAAAATAGGAATAAATTTTATAATACAAAATACAGGAGTATTCTGTAAGTGCAAACTGTTTTTCAACAAAAATCCGCCATGGTGACAATATTGAAACTGCTGGATTGTCTGAACTACTCTCTACGGAGAATTTCAGCTTTCTTAACGCTAACGAGGAATGAGAATATATGGATGTTTGTGCATAGGTGGGTTATACGAAACGACCCTATGGTATTACTTCTGCGGATAGTAATAACGATTTAAGTACGAGAACGAGATTAACTACAAGTTAAACATCTAATAACTAAGTGGAACAGTTCAGCAGGAACAGGCGCCGAATTTTCGGTGACCCGAAGATGCAAAATTAATTTTCTGAACATTTTTTTTTGCTGAATCGATCAGTATCGCTATGCAAATATATTCACTTACGAAGTCTATCGGTGAAGCGCATACGTTACGTTTATCTATTGAAGTATAGAAAACAGTGTGACTAATCATCGATTATAAGAACGTCTTATGCTTATGATGTGTAGTTATGCCCCCGTACTTATATGTTGCAGGTTTAACCGCGACGTAACATCTGAAGACAAGCGGCGGGCATGGAAGGAAATCACAGATTCAGTGAATTCGGTTTCTCCACCAGGCTCCGTTGGACACACACAAACGGAGTGCAAGAAAAAATGGGATAATATGATGGTTTATTCGAAAAAACTCTACTGGCAGTTCAAGCAGAAATGTCACCTAGCAGGTAAGTTAAACATTTGATAAATTGTGAACTTCGTTTGCTATATAGTTGTCATCAATGAAGAAGGGCAGCATATTTTGACTACTGAAAATTTTCATGGCTAAATGGCATATATAAGTAATTGCGAAACAAAGTACACCAGCTTATTCTGAACGAAGTTTAAAAAATTACACTAATATGTTTGTCACCCCCGGTGCTAAAGTTAGCTTTAGTAGGTACGGATATTTATGACTGTATATGTTACGTTCGTTTTATGCTATTGATATAGTCAGAGAAACAGATTCCACATACTACGGAGGAACATCGTTGGAGTTCCACTGGGGTACAGAAAGTGTGAAAGACACATTCTGACGAAATTTTGCAAGCAAGCTAAGTTTGCAGCTTGCATAGACATTTTCCCCGCTATTGCTTGAAGGAAGTTAAGTTCGAGGTATATGAACGTAATTAAATCGATCTCACGAATGTGATGCCCGCCGGGATTAAGAGGGGCATGGTTCTCTATAGCCGCAAACTTTTTGAGATTCCGACAAGCATACTATAATGCATAAGCAAGATTATCTTCTTTCCCATTTCAATGCGACAGTAACTATCTACTAAAAAGACTGTTTTCACCATGCTCGAACTCGGAGGGGTCAGATGTAGCTGAAACGACGATAGGACGTTTCAAGACTTCATAGCAGACAGAGGCGAGAAGGTGCAAGAGAGTGACATATAATTGCTGGCCCTCCAGTGTGTACTTCTACGGAGGCAGTCGTTAGATGATGGCGAAACGGATTGTAAAACGTTAAATCTTTCACATAAAGCTAAGACGTCGAAATGGTCCATCCAATCCGATAAACCTATTTTTGTTAGACCTAGTAGACCGGCACGAGGTTGCAGTATTACCTTGTTAGAAAGTCAGCCACGCATTGGTCGTCCGTCTGAACGTGCCAACAGCTTCAGTCTTCATTGTGACTTTGCAAAGGGTATTGAAGTAACGTAAAGCAAGCCATGCGGATAAAAGCTATCTGCTTTTATAATGCTCAAAGCACGTGTACAGCGTCAAGTGAAATAAGCGCTACGGTGCATATACAAGGGACCTTATGACAATTTTCAAAGAAATCAGGCTTTTTCAGCTAAAAGCTATTCATGTATAGAGTGTTCCGTAGACTAGCAGTATAGCCTTTTTTAATAATAATAAATTTAATAAGTTCATTATGCATCACTATCTAGCACAGAGATCAGCAAGCGGTAGGATGGCCAATGACCAATGGCAAGTTCAGTCGTTGATGAAATATGCGTCCTATGGCTTGAACCTCTACAGGTGGTATAAAGCCGGCGTTTGGCAACTATGGGAGGTTAAGAAGTGATGTTCTCTTGCGGCTGACACGCAACCGTCGACACCTATGGCAATATACCTATTTGCGTATAAGAGATAAATGTGGAAAAACAAGAATTCGTAGGTAACTCCTAGCTATTGTGCAATGGTAATCTGTAAAACCGCGCGCAATATTCCTAATAACTACCGACAGTGTGACCGTTGGGGGTGAGTGGGGAAATTTTGTGATTTAAGCTACTGTTCAGTTTAAGAACTTTTTCAATGTTCTAGCCCTGCGACTATGCGAAATTAGTTAGAAATCCTAAACAGTTTAAGCAGCTCGCAATGGAGAACGCACTGCTCTTTCGACATCGATCAACCTGTGCCGGACAATACGCTGTCGCCCTACAGCTACTTAAAAACCTTGGCCTTTATAGCCATTTCTGTTCCTTACTCTTGCAAAAAGGCTAGCTCCAAAACCATCTAGTACCCGCCGGCGTCATGAACGACTCAAACGAGGCAAATGTGATAACATCCAGCAATTTCGTTCCCGATCATGTACCGACAATTATTATTTCCTATCGTCCTATACAGGTCCCCTGCTGGCTAGCGGCCCACCGCGTGAACTGTGGTTATGGTCAGCATCTAGTATATACCTCACATATGTTTTTAAGATGCATAGACAGACAGGTAGCCATTAAGTAATCACAATGACTATTTCTGTTTGGTCATTAGCGAGAACATTCTGTGCCTTCTTCTGCTCAAAAGATGGCAGACTCTTTAGCATGCCGCCGATACAACAGTTGCAATGTCAGCCAACTGTTCTTTATGATAGATTAATTAAACTTGTTTAAATATTATACAAAAGCATCCAAGGAACATGTATGATTTCACTTATGCAAATAGAGCCGTACAAAATTGTAAGCCGGTCAGTTGTCTCGAGTTTACCTCGAAAGCTGGATTTTTTGCCATCCGTTGGCAAAAGAAAAAGAGGGCTAGGGCTATGTTATTCTCTTAGCCGTGCGTCGATAAACAAGTAAGGACCATTTTGACGACATAATTTTGTACGGCCTAATGGCTGAGTAATTATTGTATCAGCCGGTCGGTAGTGGCGGTATAATTGGATCTAATTTATCTACTAGTTCCATTGCTGGGAGTAAATGCTAGACTGGACTTGAACAACACGCCTGGGATACTGAGCTTCGTTCCGTGTGTGCTTTGGGACATGATTACTAAGATACATTGTAATTTATTGTTCGCAGGGCAGAATCATTCAAGCAAAAGCTAGCTATTGCGTAAATGGATAAATTCAGTTACACTATAGGATGCCATGCAAAACTTCGAAAATTAGCCGCTTACTGCTACTTCTTAAATGATCTGATATACTTTTTTTTTTTAATAGTAGGTGGAATATTAGATAATCCTATTAGAATATTACTTGCTATCAAAGTTATCAGTACCGTATAAGTAGGAGTAACGGTACAATCTATACTTGCGTATACGAGCGTAACACTGGCCAATAACCTAAATTAAACTGATAGTATATTTAGATAATTACAAGTAGAACAAAAGTTACAATAAAGTTTCTATCTATCTATCCAAATCTAGATAATAATAATAATAATAATAAGACAAACCCAGCGCAAATCAGTAATAGAATGATGAGTATCCGATATTTCTAGGCTATTGTATATGTGACAAGGTCATCGTTTTATAATTAATATTAATTAGTAATCCCCTGAAGGATACTTCATCCATCTTTGATGAGTTGCTGGACGGCAGTTCGAAAACTGGAAGCACCGGGCACAGATATGCGAATGCTTACAGATCCTGTTTGCGTTACCATGTGCTCGTTTGTATATGGACTTTTGTGAACTAGAGGCACTATTTACCTATTTTTGGTTGTTTCATATGATCTCTTTAAAGAATTGAAGAAATGTCGTCCCCCTCGCCGCCTGTCAGACGTCGTTCTTCGGGTGATTCAGGTACGTTGATTCTATTCCATAGTATGCATGTTCGATCTCAGTTGAACGCAGCAATTTTTGGCAAAGCAAATTGATTTTGCAGAGTTAGAAAAGACGTTGCTGTGCATCACGGAACATGGCGGACATATAATCTTGAATTGAAATTTTCAGTAGTAATGTTTAGGGAACGTACATATTTGTACGTAGTGCTCAGGGCGGTCACGTGCTTTTCTATATATATTTTTATATATAGACGCCTACTTCGGACTGTAGTGAGCTCTCTTCCTACACGTTTTGTTGTGGGACTCCGACGTCCACTATTTCTCAGCCGCGTTAGTTCGGCTGCAACCTTACAGGAAATGAGAAAGACTATTATTTCGTTGTACTATCAACGCGCCAACGATCGAGTTGGGCCATGCATAGACTGGTACTTCAAAACATTTAGAAGTTCATTTTCATTTGGTTGAGAAGCCATTCAACTTCAAATTTCTGTTTTTCATTTTTTCGTTACCTTATTTATTGTAGTTACATTATTATTATTATAGAATGTATGCGATATCTGTGCAAAAATAAAAAAAAAAAAAAAAAAAATGGTTAATCAACACCTTGTTGAAATCTATGAAAATTTTTCTATGTTGCATTCATTAATAGGGGTCTGAATTAGAGTAATGGACGAAGTGGCAGAGCTGCATGACGCCTTTTGTAAAAATAACGATAAAGACTGACTCGTTAGCAAACTGTCTAATTAAATGGCTATAAGCCATAGTTTCCATGATAAAATATCGTTGAATTTGCTCCGATTGATCTGGAAATTTCAATCTGCACATTATAGTCCTTGAGGGAGACTGTGTTTGAGCTGAGTCTTGAGAGTGTAACAAAAGTGATAATAATCACAGGTCATCGGCGAGGAAGCAGTTGAAGAAAGTATGCGAAATTTAACCGAGCAAGCCTACGGGAACTTCCAGCACAGTCTCGTTTCCCATACCGGGCATATGCCCTCACCGTTTTCGGTAACCGGCGTAAGAGCAGGCGATGCTCTAGGGGCACTTTCAAAGGGTTCACTGCCCTGGTTGGATGGAACTGGAACCACAACTCCAACATCTCATCAGCAGCAATTCAATTCAGCTAACGCGTAAGAAAAACATGTTTTTTTTTTTTATATACTTATAACTAATTCGTGAGTGAAGTACGAGACAATTCAGTCATTTGGCAATGACAATCTTATAGTCAACGCTAACGATTTTCCGTTCTCTTCTTTTTCTACTTTCAGGCAAAAGAATATGCTATTAAACTTTGCCGCAGCTATGGCCTCATATTCGGCCCTAAGTCAACAATCCACTGATGGCGCTGAGGGTTCGCTTGTTGATGAAGCTGATTCGTCGGACGAAACGAGTCAGCAGTTACCGCTACCGTTGCCAAGCCACCTCAGCGCTCTTGGTCGCCTTTCAAGTCACCTATCAAACCAAGGACAGTTGCCTGCTCACATGGCACGCCTGGTCCAGCTGTCACCACATGCACTTCGACCGGCTACTTCGCCCGAAGATCTTCGACCTCAGACAAACTCCCCGTCATCGAGTGGAGGCCGCGCTGCGAGTTCACCGGACGCGCGTGTCTCTGCAAGTCAAAACAGAATAATGACGAACCATGCTTTAGGCGCAATAGAAGCCGATAGAACGCATCACCAAGGGGTTAAACGCAAAAGCTCGCAAATACTTGATGACGGTAAGAATGGTAGTTACGGCACCCGCAATGACTTTATGTGCTTGGAAGATTTTGTAGGTACGCATATGTTTTATATAATCTTACCTATGTATAACCTCCGTAACAACTTAATGGCCTTCGAGCTTTTTGTTTAGTAAGGAGATGGTGTCTCACCCAAATCTATCTTCCTTAATGTTGATCCTAAGACGAGCGACAAGCTGAGAAAAAACAAGTTCGCAACGGCTACAAGTATGACTCTTATAAATAAAACATTTTTGGACTCTTGCAATGAACAGAAGCTTGATAGGGTCTGTAGAAATTGTCATCCTATTTGCGTCTGTTCCACCGGTAAATAACATATAAGCTCGTAGAGAACATTCTACTATAATTGAGACCACTAATTCGTTAGCTTCTATTCAGACTGTCACAATCCTTAAAATAAAGGTTTTTTCAAACACTGGCGTAGAGGTATAGGAGAATGAAACGCGACGGATGTATAAAAAAGTATTCCCAAGAATAGAAGTAGAAAGTGATCCACGGGTCAGCGACTGATTTGATGAAATTTTTGCGACAGAAGCGACAGATGTACGGTTTATGTGTGCGACGGGGTGAAAGGTGAAGCTTGTCCAAAGGAATTTTAAGGCATAACGTCCCCCAGATTTCAAGAGCTGAATCTATAACCCGGGTTCCATGTGCATGCTAGAGATCGTACACATAAACCTTGCTTAATTGGTATTTCTAATCACAACAAACTACAAAATATCCTTCCGAAGTTCTACCGTTAGGCGTTTCATTAGAATGTCTTACAAAAACTTTACTGTGAAAGAACCAAATTAAAAGCTGTTTTTAATTGCTTTAAGTTCAAATATATTACATGCTATGCGATAGGTGTGTAAAAATGAAGTAATGTTAGATCTGAACGCCAAGCTATCTGTAATCTATAGCCAAGCTATAACCAGAGATCTCATATACTATAGAAGGCTTAGGCCGAAATGGGAACGAACGTAAGCCTTACAATTATAAAAAAAAAAAAACGAGGGTAGTACGCTTTTAATAGTTAATGGGAACCGAGATGGTTAAACGTCTAACCGAGAATTGACAGGCTTATGCAATGGCTTTATAGGAAAAAAGAACGACGCTTTATTCCAGTAAGTGCTACAAAAGTTAGTGGCGACGTTGCGACATTGGACTTGGACGGCAATCAATGTAACGTAGCAACTGTGTAGCGATAAGCTGCGTCCTAAAAAGCTAACGTGTAAAGGATAGGGACTTAACGTCACTGTGCAAAATATGTTACGTGACGAGCCGATATCTAAAAAACGTTGCCGTAAATCGCTGCCGCAATCAAGCCCATTTGGGGTGGTTTTATTCATAAAAATTAGCCCTTATCCAGGTTGTTGACCCATAAGCTGTTAGGCATAGATTTATCAGCTTATTTTTACTGTTCACTAGGTTTTCTCGAAGCGAAACAATACAATGGCAGTCGTATAATCATGGTGCTCGATAAATTGAATAAAAATGTTAAAATAACAAGTTGTGAGTAGAAGTCACGCAGGTTATATCTATACATATAAAGCTGCATATTACTGCTAATTGTTTCAAACTTACGCCGATAAGAAAGTGGTGCCTCAAATATACTCATGTATTTGATTAATACAATTTCAATGGGATGCACCCATACCGAATAATGCTTTCTACACAATTTCCATTACCTAGAGGCTTTTTTTTTTATTATAGAGATTAAAGCTAACCTAACCCATATTGTCTCCTTTATCTAAAAGTACTTCTATTCGCTGTTTATTCAACTTATCCAAATGCTTTCGGAGAGTCCCTTGTTGGCTGAGCATATTGCACTGAATTTGAATAGCGCAGGCAACGAACAGGGGCAATGAAAAGGCGAGAAAGAGGGCAACGCGATCTTTTCTCGAACATAAAATCGAACCGCTAGTGCAACGATAGTAATTAAATCTATCGATAGAACCAACTATTTGCATTTTAAAAGCCCTTTTGTTGCTTTTTCTTCGTTGAAAGAAGGTTTACGTTGGAAATTCGTCTTTTTCAAATCCTATTCCTTTGGACATCCTAAACGGGACGGTTAAAGGTATTTGCAATTTTGTAGGGATTGCTCGCAATAGGAGACGGTCTCCGACTTTGTCGTTTGCCAGTGGGCAATCTTGCGATTACGACGTTTGTTTCATTCGACTAACTTCCAAAATAACGTTGCTGGCGTTTCCGTCTTTCTGCTACTTGTTTGTTTGTTTTTTCTTGCAATGCCTGTGTGGTCAAGTCGGACCATGTCACTGCATTTCCTATCCCACGACGGCGCAAAGATCAGCCAGACTCATTAAGCTGATGGACGCACCACGTGGCGGAAATGCACAGATTGAGTATTGCAATAGAACAGTTGCCGGCCAGCTGAGTTCTAGCAAATGTCCAATTTTGTTGTTTTCCCTTCGGATGCTGAGCTTTGCGGCGTCACGCATGTCACAACTGGAGGGCCGTTGAGGAGTTAGTTGCGGTGGCGGCCTGTGTTCATGGTTTAACTTGGTCGCACTGGAACTTATGCCTTTACCCTTCTCCTCCTCTCGAGAGCCTAAGTCCCAGGCCATTCTTCGTTTCTTCACTTCGGAATTCTGCCTTGAACTAACAGCGATATTATTCCACGAATCATAGTTATCCATCCAACCAACCGAGTGTGTCATTGGTTATTGCAAGGCTGCGGAAGAAATGAAAACTTTCTACTGATGTAGGTCTGCGTTCCAGCCACATCTTGAAAATGTGATATGGAATCTTTACCGAACACTTTACCAGTAGAGACAAAATATTCTTCAGTAGACACAACACCCAAACGGAATAAAGGTCGGCTGAGACATAATAGAAGCGTTGTAGTTCCATTATCCAGGAGCTGCGCGTCTTAAAATTGCACTCTTCTGAGAAAAACTAACGTGCTAGCTGCTCATTTTCTACTGTAAATTGTCCCCTATTCGTAAAAACCAAAGCAAAAAAAAACTCTCACTTCGTCAAGGAATTGTTTTGATTTGTTTTTTGCGTTAAGACTGGTTCATGCAGAGAACAATCAAATATTATCTTGGAGAACAAAAAAAAAGAAAGCGGTGGGCGGAGAGGGAAGGGGAAAAGCTAAAAGATTAATTAAAGATGATATCTACGCGGAGAATATCATCCATGTTCATCGTCTGCCCCGTTTTCCCATCATGGTCGTTCTTAATCGCAGCTCCAAGGTATTCTTTCGGTTAAGCGTCTGAAGTAGAGCACACGGTTGTTTATGATGGCACGCCAGCTACTCTTCCTTTCTTTTTTCTACCGTTCAGTTTACCTCTCCTCGCCTACCACCGCAGTTCCAGCAGTTTTCCATAAATCCTTAACCTCGTGCAATTGCCCGACTCAACATCGGTTTTTCCATCTACCAGCCGTAGTCGATGCCACACTTAAAATTACCATTGGCACAGGCAAGCCGTTAGTCAGACAGTCGGCCACTCAAAAAGCCCCAAGAGCACTGCAATGGGACAGAAACTTTTCACCGCCAAATGCCTTTACCGTTGTCGCCACAAGTGCCACGCAGCCGATGACGCTGCAGCAGGAAAAAACGAAGAAAAAGGCTACACAGGACACAAAAAGAAGCTCGTTAACTGCTAAATGTCTATTTTCCAATAGTTTGATGTCCGAAGGAACTCCTATAGGCGGTCGTTTCTCGAGCTGATCTGAACGGCGGCAAAACAACAGCAGAAATCTATGGACGCTAAAATAATTTCTACTTCTTTACCCCAACACCTTTCCCTTTTTTCTAGTATTCCTTTCCGGAAAGTGGAAGGTTAGAAGTCACCTTAAACGCTGCAATAGTAAATACAATAAGAAACGATAACGACAACAGGGCGCTGTTGCGGTGTGTCTCAGAGAAACAGGTTAGCAGGCAGTGCAGCCTACGAAAGAGGTAAAATGGAGTGAATCAGAGCAAAAGAGAAAGGTAAATAAGAAGGGGGGCTGGTGAATGTATTAAATGGAGGTGAAAAAGATACACACACGCATATACGCACACACCCACACACATACACACACCTAAAAAGTCTCCCAAGTGCGGCCGAATCCGTCGAAATAGCTTACCTTGCTCGGTGAACGTTGAATTTGGCCGTCCTGATTTCCATAAAAGTCAAAGCTGCTCCTTCTGATTTGAGGTTGACCAATTTCTGTGCCTCCAATTTCAAGCTAGACCAACGAGTTCATTAAATGATTGCTCACAATAACTTTGTCCAATAAGCGCAGATTGAGAAAGCTTAAACGAAAGAAAAGAAAACCTAGTGCATCATAGTTAGCTGTAAATTACATTGCGATCGTTATATAGCAAACTCGATTAACTACCGTAGAATAACTTTTTTTTGTTCTTGTAGTGCCCTTCCACACGTGGACTGTCTCCCCTGAAGATATAGTAATCTATTTGTGAATACCTGTTCGCTGGTTTAGTTCAAGTTATCTTACTTTCCAGGAGTTATTCGCGGAGACAATGGTCAAATGATAGCGAAAAGATCAGATATGTTAAGATGACATACGTTCGTATCTCGTACGTACTTCCTTCACAAAAAGCTCGCAGATTCTAAAATAATAACGACTTTTAGAGTTTTTCATTATAGTTTATAGTTAAACAAGAATCAGCGTTCAGAGCACGTGAGAGAAATCCAGATTGAAAAGAAACGAAAATGCGACGGTCGACATACTGATATGAGACGTAGATGGGCGGGCTTTATTTACGGCGTTAAACAGCGATGCACGCACGCTTCATTCCTCTTCTTTTCTAACACTAATTTATCTAATCTAACAATTCGATTGTGACACACTGTACTTACACATATAATACAATGATACAACAATAATTTTTGCACACCCCATTGTCTATTACATCTCTTTCTATTAAAATATCTGCTTCCTTTCAGCAATTATCCCCCCATATTGTTCTGATATAATCGCGAATTGGCTTTGCGCAACATAACATAAGCCATAATTCAATTGCAGATTTATTCCTTTATAGTTATATGTGTCTAATTAAAATTATTCCATTTCTGTGATCCATTTGTGTATACTCTATGATCTGTCCTAACGACCTTCTTACTTTAGCATAGGCTGTATTTTGCACTGTCTCAGGGACATCTACATCCAGCCAAACCTGAAGCTCCAGTGGGGTTACCCTGCTGCATTGATCTCGTTTACCCCTTGCCGTTATCCTGGTTTACCATTCGAAAATTCTAGTAATCTCGTTTATCTTCTTTTTCAATATTATACACAGTTTATTTTTCGGTTTGTGATTACGATCGTTCCGTTATTGCACCGCGAGTCTTCTGCTATACAGACAAATAACGGACCTCAACTTGTCAATATTCAACCGATGATCGTACAGGGATTCCAAGCATGAAGCTTTACCAAGCTTCACAAAATCGGTTTCAAGTGACCGTTCTACTACGACCGTTCGATAAACGTATACACGTACACAAATGGCCGTAAATTTTCAGTACTATTATGAAATAGAACAGATTGACAACACGTCACTATAAACAATTAGAGCAGATCTATGAAACAAGAAGCTCTGTTTGAAGGTAGTTTATTGAGAAAGACGTTAAATCTATATGAAAAATGAAAAAACCTAATTCTAATGAATGACCTAACTTTCGCTGAAAATCTTTTTGGTATGATTTTGCTCGTTCGTTTAAATTCCCGGGGATCAATTTGTGGCGGCAACTATAACAGTCGACGAAAAGGACTCGGGGGGTGCGGAATCACAGGACGACAACGACGACGACGACGACGACGATGACGACGACGACGACGACGACGACGATGACGACGACGACGACGAACAGCAACAACAGCAACAACAGCATCGTCGGACGATATCAAAGGATAGCCAAAAGTCGCTTCGCAATGAGGCCACCAGCGAGTTCGTTAGGGCTTTACGTGCCATCCAGAAGGTCGCAGGACAGTTACATGAGGCTCAGCAATTCCAGCAGCGGCTGCTTTTGCTAAAGCTTCAGTTTCTTCAGGAGCGTCGCAATCAGTTTCACGACGGGGAGAACCGAACGAAGATCGTGGTTACAGGGGAGAGCAGTCCAGCGGCCGCAGAATCGTCCTCGTCGAATGAACGTAGCTAGAAAAGGAAAGAAGAAACGATAAGGGACAAAAGACGCCACTAAATTATTTTTAAAAATACAGCAATTTCCCTATTAGAATTTTCAAATATATTAATTACTTATCAATTATAGTTAAATGTGAAAAGATAGATAATTAGAAGCTTGTACTATGATTGTCTGGCTGGCAAGGGGCCGCAGATGACTACGTGGTGTAACTAACCAATTTATTCATATGGAATTGTAGCATAAATTAATATTATAGGTGGCAGTGATTATAATTAACGGCAGCAATTGACGATCGGCAACGCGTACAATATAATATAGACTTCCTGGTTAAGCAGACAGGGGTTGCCCCAAAATAAAAAGGACAAGTATGGAAACGATTTGCCCGCACTTTCAGTGCGTATGATGATTGATTGAGCTCTATCTTTAACGGCAAGCTAATGTTCTCCCAGCAAATTCTCAACAAAACCAGTGATAGCCAACAAGATTGTACGCCGATTCTCGATGTCTATCGTGTAAGAAACTGATTTGAGTTAGTCAATGAAGTACAATGACTGAAAACCGTCACCAAATAGCTGTTGCAATTTTTCGTTATGGGGCAGATTTGTTATTGGATGTTGTATTATACATTCGAATACCCAACTGTTGTATGAGAGATAATGTATTAAATTAATATTTAAAAAAATAGATTTAGAAAATATTAAGATGCAGACGCACGTCCTGTGCAATAGACATGGGAACCGGAAATATAATGTTGCCGCGGGTCGACCAGTTTTGTCTACTAAACTAAAATCAGGCCTGAAGCACGGGGTGCGCAAACACTTGTGTACAGCTGCGTTGAAGTTGTTTAGAAAAAAAGGAAAGAAACAATCAATTTGGCTGATGGAGAAGGTGATTTCTAACAATGGTTCTCCGTAAGTTCTCCGTAACAGTTAAAGCACTGCTCGCTTTAACTGTCTAAAACTGGCCCTACGTATGGCAAGCTCGTAAGGATTCTAATTCTCCCTGTATTAATCGTCGATTTCCCTCGAAAGGCATCGCAACATTGGCTTGTTTTTCTTCAAGCGGTACGTTACATAACCTTTGAAGTCCTTTGGTGAGAGAACGGCTCCACGGAACATATGCATGGACAATAATGCGTTACGTAGAGGAAGTTAGTGTATTTTTTTCCTGTACAAATTGAACCCAATAACGACAACATTCCGCATAGGAAATAAAAAACGAAATATACAAAGATAACATTTTATCAAATTCGCTTAAATACACAATGCGAGATACACGCAGCCATTGTATAGTGTTTTGCTGAGGATGGGCGATTAAAGCAAACGCCCAGCTTTCGTACTCAGAATTCGATTGCTCAAACAACGATGTATATCTACTTCATGACAGACGTCTTGCAAATCCTAGAACTGCGTAGGTTTTTTTTCCAGCCAGCGTGATTCGTATTTACAGATAATCGACGTTCTCAATCGCAAGAACTATATCTGCAAAGTTATAGGTAATCACGATGATGATGATGAAGTTACAACGGGGAGGCACAATAGGAGAGCAATGGCCCTCCTAAAGCCGACGGATTTTCTTGACTGAACACTTATTAAAATTAAACGCCGTATCGCATCTTTGCGCATCAACGACGTATTTAGATTTTTGGATGGCTGCAAAATGCCTACACGAGTATATGGGATGGTGGTATTAAACCGCTCTTGGATCAACAGTAATAACACTATATCAATCTGTTCGGTGTTAAATTGACTCTGTCTGAAGACGCAAACCGTCAAAAAAGACGCCGGCTATTAGCCGAACCAAATTGTTCCTACTCCAATAAAAACGTAGGACTTGTATATAAAAACAAACAAAGCCTATATAAGTGATCAGTAATATAATAAATAAACTATATAACTGAGTATTAATCACCATAAGGAATGATCTTTGCGACTACGTCAAGATAAATCCGGTAAATCAACGGGGTCTAGTAAACGTTAGAACAACGTTTGAAATAGGTGCAATGCGTATATCGTAAAAAAGATGAACTTTTGCAGATTTTTTAATTTTATTCTCTAATTAGTGTAGTTTCGGAATTGATTTTGTAAAACTGAGAACTTCGAACAACGACCGAGAAAAATCTGCATGCTGGATAATTGATAGCTAATTGATCTAAAACGATATTTTAAGTACCTGTAATAATATTTTCGCACATGCGCTTTACCTCATTCGTTCATATTTCTCTTATTTTAGCCATATGTAAACAGTTTCAAATAAATAAAAAAACATTGGATAGTTTTCGATTTCAAGGTCAATGCAACTCGGTGTGGCATTCGGCTTCCCAGATGCTATCAAAGTCCAGAAGCTCCTGTAGGAACTCCTGTAAAACATCCATATAAAACATCAACCACGTCAACGCCACATGTTCATCACCAGTGTTCTCTAACGCTAGTCATATACGATAAAAACGCCGAAAACAGAGTTCCTGAGGACGAATAAGCCAGATTCGTTCAATTCTCTGATGCTCTCTGACATAACAATTCCCCCCCCCCCCCCAGTGACGATAATCGTATAGAATCGCTTCATGACGGCACCAATCACATTAAAAGCACTTCTAAGCTGGAACAAAGGAGAGATTTAGCTATTGTTTTATCACGCGACGTATTCCGACAAGGAGTAGGAATGCCCAAGGAGCGGAAGGGTGACATGAACGAACAGAATCCATACATATGCTCTATTAAATGTGCCTAATGCAGAATAAGTCTAAAATAACCTCATGATTTAATAGAAATTAAAAACAATTATATATAGAAGAGTTTCTAGAATACATCTGATAACATGTATTCCCCATAAACTTTTTGCTAACCTGTACAACAATATTTCTAACGCTCCGTAATATCGAAGCCTATGAAGTAGTTAGCTACGGAGGGGTTATTCTGTTGTATAGCAAAAATAGCGTAGCAAACTTACTATTCAAATACTATCCTTTACAATTTGAGCGGCAATAGTCGACTGTGTCCAATTAAACCTAGGCTAAGACGAATATCTATCTACTTGGTGGGAAAACAGAATACGGGTAGCCACTAGAAAAAACATTTGTTGCGTATCGATAGTACAGTAAATTTGTTTAGCTACCCGTATCGCTTCTTGTGTAACTGGTGCCACCTCACTCGTCACAACGAAGATTATCTCGTAACGAAGAATGACTTCACAGTATGATCATATAATACTTACTCGAATAACATGTAAGCCAGCAATGTTAGCTGAAGGACTAACTGCCGATCTAAGGCGCGGACGTCGAAGAATCGTCGTTCAAGGGCGTCTATAGCGACACTTCAAGTGTACTCGGAGAAGTCTTGCGTTTGGTTTACCTGAGGTCCCCTGTCCAGTCGTTGCATAATTACAAATACCCTAACTATTTCGAGTTTTACGTTCGGTACCGTCGTTAAACGTTCAGTCGGATGATCAACTTCAGTACAATACGAAATGTGTCTACGCGCAAATTTCAACCCAGGCCGCTACCTGTCCTTTAAGCCTAACAGCAACACAAATGTACTGTTAAACAACAAGTAACTCTAAACAGGCAACAACTGTTTAAGCCTTAAATATAACCGGACTAGTTTCGGTAAATGCTATCAATAACTCTTGAGACTAACAGCAGTGACACCTGGTGTTTTTCAGCCAGAGGCTTGCCTATCAAAGCCACACCGTAAACGTTGTTAGAATCCTTTTTAGAATAACGTATCGTCGTAGTCAGAAAAGAATGCGGTAAAGCAGGAGGGTCACGTTTGAATGTGGCGTGGCCAGAAGGCGAAACGTGCGCACCTTACGACTTTCGCTGTCTACAAAAAATGTGAGGGGCAGAAGTAGTGAAGCACTCCGTTGAAGCTAAAATGCCTCAAACATTTCGATTTTACGGAAATAAAGAAAAATATTTAAAACGTTTTATACATATGATATATGTTCTATCTCTCAATTATTATTGTCACTAAAAAATTATTATTATAAAAAATTGTTACTAAAAAATTACCAAAAAATAGCGGTATACTAAACGCTAGCTTTCACAAAAAAAATGATGACAAATATGCAGATAAATGTAGTAACTTGCGATCTAAAACACAATAACTTCTCCATTTTAATTAGAAAACTTGATCGATTACTAGTGCAGTTCAGCATTTCGAGCGAGTCTTTCACGTTCAGCGATAATAAAAAACACTATGAAGAATCTATGAAGTCTTTTGTATATACAACATAATCAAAATATCTACTCTTTCCTTAGATTCATATGATTTAGGGCAATCTTGGTCAGCATCGCATCATAAATATGGTACGCGTTAAAAATAGATCAAACAATGTTTCAATATGTAGATGTGAAACGGCTATATAAAAATAGGATCTAGATCACTTGTATTTTAATTGCAACAAAAAGCGTGTCTAACATATTTATCTCGCTGTTTCAGTAAAACTCTTAGATGTTCCCTTATTACTAAATAGTATCAGAAGTACTAGCATTTCAAACAGTAGCAAAGACAATCCCTCAAAAAGAGGTGAGGAACCCGTCTGAAATATAAATTATGACGCATATTCCAACTAGGCCCTTGTCGATCACGAATACTGAAGTTGGCAACTTTCTTTAAGTTGATCGGCTACAGAAACGCTGGTCGGAGACAGCGCCCTCTGAGTATCTTTCCTTCCTTTAGGCAGCTCGTGCCTACGGACGATATTCTTTTACTCTACTGCATTATTACAGCTTGAAGTAGGTATAAATATTTCATTCTAACATGCTTCGTTCAAAGAGGAAGGTGAATGCGCTCTTTCATTTAACATTCAATAACTCCACCCGCGACTGAACAGGCATCATTATCATGGCAATGGTACGGGGGTTCACTGGGTGGAATCGTTAGATAGATAAAGAAAAATCCGGATTGTTTCAGAAAAGAAGAGGTTGTTCAAAAATGCGGTATGAAATTACTTTAATAGTTAAGTATTATTGGAACTTACCAATATTTCTATATCAAAAGTACAAGTTAGACACTATAATAAACAGACATAATTGTGTTCTAAAGATTTTTCGGGTAGAACGGTAGAATGTCTTGACAAGCAAGATGTTTGTAGAAGGAAATTCGCGCTCAATCAAACATATTATATCATCTGGGTTACATACTTTTCAGAAACTCTCAAATAGGCTGAATTTTGTTCGAACGTTATAAACGTATTTAGTTAAAAGATAAAAAATGGTTTCTTCTTTTTTGAGTAGACGTTTCGGCTAGATTCCTACTCTTCGGTGATGTTCTTACTTCATATTAGGCTCTGTCGGTCGCAGTGCCAAGGCCATCACTGTAAATTTACCTCGCCGAACTTCTCTGATAAATCAGGGCATATCCTTGACGCATATAAACCTGCGGTCCAACTGTGCATCTAAGGCTTCCAGACGGATGCGCCATAAAATATGTAATCCGTAGTCAATTAACAATCTGAGTGTACCGCGTACTAGCAAAGGATTGCTTATCCAATAAAATATATATATATATATATAGCACAATTAATCTTGCTGACGCAAAAGATCACGAAGGTGCGCGATGAGTAAGCGAAGTACGTCTACCTATATTTTTTGTGAAGGAATATATAATAAAATTACTTCTAATCAACGTACTATTTCACTCCAGTATAAAAAAAAAAAAAAAAAAAGAACATTCGTATTGTTTGGGTTCACTTTATTCTTTCTGTCCTGTATAAAGATGGAACTTTACTCCGTCGGAAGAATTGCGTGGCGACAGGAAATAACGTTTGTCCAAGCGTACTTCACTGGTCATGCGGCCTTACTAGCACACATACATACAAAAGATGTTACTTTCGAGGCCGGCTACCAGCTACGAAGATCGTTGACGTCCTTGAGTTTAACTACTCGTCAACTGCGTGCGCTTCTTCCTAAAGTATTCGTTTCTTTTAGTCTAGAATGTAACGCAAAACAATGCATGCAAACTATCAATCACCTTAAACATTACTCGTATTGTCCTCTTTCAAAGAAGAACTATTGTGTGATACAAACAAGTTTCTACTAGAGTTCCAAGATACCGTATAATAAATGGCCATTGTAGTTTGAGTAGTGTCGCATTATTTTGTTGACTGACGATAGGTACTGCTGCAATTTTGCACTTTCTGTCATAAATATGTAGGTCATATAGCGTATTGTTCAACCCTATTGTGGGTATATGTAATGTTTCTAGAAGATAAAAAGATTCAATCGTAATCGTCCTCAGTTTTAGGACCGGCGTTAGAGCGTTAGAAGATGTTACACACCATTACCTTTGCACTTACTATCCGCGGTAAGTACCTTTGACACAGAGGCCATTTCAGTCGGCGTATTCACCGGTGCCACTTCGCCTACGTTCCATTCACTATCCTTTACCGGTTTTAATGGCTATCCTGAATAGCGCCAATTAAAGAATCACGCCACATAGCGAATCGATAAATCAGTGATCGGAAAATTGTTAGGTGCAATTATATTGCCTTACTGTTCAACACGAAAAATGAGACAAACATACGTATAGAAAAGATCTTCTGCAAGTGGACTGCCTACATGAGCCGTACGATACACTCAGACAGATGCAATAGAATGTAGCAATATGTATTTCATCTACTGTTCTAAAAGTTACATTTAACTTAAATAATGATAAAACAATTGATAGAAATATATCATTTCCACAGAAGGATACCCGCCGTGAAAACAAGTGATCGATTTGCTCTCCACCAGCTCGAGCTGATTCATTCGTATCTTCAAACTACTCGTTAGGTCGTTGTCACCAAAGTGAAAGGTGGAATTCTCAGTTACGAACTTATTATCAATAAACTGCTATTATTCTAAATAGTTCTTGTTATCCCCTTTTTTTTCCCATGTCTTCTCCAATTCATTGAGGCGAAACGATCCACTATGGAAATCTATAACTTAATTAAAAATAGTATTCGTTGATCACGAGTATTAATGTTCCAGTCACTCTGGACTGTGAGTATAAACCTTTTTCGTCTTTGAGAGAAAGAGGTGCCGACCGGCTGCTACTGCTACTAGATGTTGTTGTTTACATCGTTGTTTGTCCAACAACAGTAACTGAAACGGGCTAGACGGTCTCGTCTATGTTTCCCGGCGGCTTTGCCATAGGCCAGTATAGACCTGCCTCTCCCACGAGCAACAGGTAACTCCATAACGGTACGCGTCATAGAGATACATGCTTCGAGTTTTAGCAATGTGTATATGAAACTAGCCTCGGTTAAGCTCCCTAAAAACAACACTTGATAAAAACAAAGCTGCCAAGTAAATAAAGTATGATTAAAAGTAGCGCTTCTATTTTTATATTACACTATATTTGATTTGATAATACATTTTATGTACCATAGGGTAGCAATGCATAATATAACTGAGAACTGCTACGAACCGCAGCATATCCGTAAATAAAATATCTCTAACGATGTTTGACTCTATATTCTGTTAGATTGTAGCGAAGCAGGTGTTATTAACAGCAGCTAAGAAGAGCTATAAGATATATTGAAGAAGAAAGACAAAAACGATCCGCAGCCGACAGGATTCGAACCTGTGCGGGGAGACCCCAATGGATTTCGAGTCCATCGCCTTAACCACTCGGCCACGACTGCTCATTGTGGTTCTCTCGTCGCTTAGACATTACGATCGGTACGTTTACATGACACATTGAATTTGATTATAGCTAGCAGTATCTACGATACTAGCAAGTCACAGTGTATTGCTTTTAGCCGTTTCCAATTCAAGAAGGGTAAGCCAGTGATACCCATTGTGATTCTGCTAAGACTGTGTCTTGTCTTCGTTAAGCGTCGGCGCATGCGCACTAAATCGAAACAAAAATGGCGGCGCCCACTCATTCGATGAAAGAACGCTTCACGCGGTTCAAAGACAGCAGACAAACTGGGCAAACGCAGAACCAAGCCGGCTATGTGCAACTCTCTATTTGGATATCAAATTAAATTCCTGAAATCTTAGGACTATCTGTGCTAAAAGTCACTGAAAAATAAATTCCGTTATCTATTTCTAATATATTGCAGGGATGACGGTACAAGACCTCGTGACAGGTTTGGGCGACAATCCATATTTCGGTGCGGGTGCCGGCCTATTTGGTATCGGAATGCTAACCGCTGCTGCTCGTAAGGGTATACAAGTTGGAGTGGTATTATTTCGTAGACATTATATGATGACACTGGAGGTTTCGTGCCGAGATAAGAGCTACCACTGGTTGTTACAGTGGATAGCAAATAACGTTCGTCGTACGCAGCACCTCAGCGTTGAGACAAAGTTTAAACAGCTTGAAACAGGAAAGGTGAAAACGAGCTTTGACTTTATTCCTAGTGTCGGAACGCATTTTTTTCGTCATAACGGCACGTGGATTCGGGTAGAACGAGTTCGAGAACAGCACACATTAGATCTTCATTTGGGCTTGCCTTATGAAACTGTGACGTTGACAGCACTTGGTACAAATAAAACGATTTACTTTGACATACTTGCTAAAGCGCGCGCGGAAGCCCTTCAAAAGGAGATAGGAAAGACATTAATGTACACACCAATCGGATCTGAATGGAGACAGTTTGGACACCCCCGCGAACGCAGACAACTGGACAGTGTTATCCTGGATAAAGGCATTAAGGAAAGAATACTTAATGATGTCAACGAGTTTATCAGTACACCTCAGTGGTACATGGAACGAGGTATTCCATATCGTCGGGGTTACCTTCTTTATGGACCACCGGGTAGTGGCAAGAGCAGTTTCATCACAGCGTTAGCAGGGCACCTCGAGTATAGCATTTGCGTGATGAATCTCAGCGATCAGGGTCTTACCGACGACCGGCTAAATCATCTTATGAACGTTACGCCTCAGCAAACGATCGTCTTGCTTGAGGATATCGACGCATGTTTCGTATCTAGGGGAAGGAAGGGTGAAGATCCTGTGGCCTATGACGGACTGAATCGTGTTACTTTGAGTGGTCTCTTGAATATGCTCGATGGAGTAGCATCATCAGAGGCTCGTATTCTATTTATGACCACCAATTACATTGAACGTCTGGACCCTGCCCTCATAAGGCCTGGACGTGTTGACGTGAAGGAGTTTATAGGTGCCGCATCTGATTATCAACTGTCGGAAATTTTTCGTCGATTTTATCCGGAAGCAAATGATGCCATGGCTAAGAAATTCGTCGCTTCTCTTCGTAAACATCACAACGATGTTAGCATGGCTCAAATACAAGGCCTTTTTATGTTCTATAAGCATGATCCTCGATTAGTGGTGGACGAGGGTGTGCCAAAGTTGATGTCATTGTAACGTTACCTTGCGAAAGCTTTATATTCACATAGTAGCATAGTTATATTATCTCATGAGAGGCTCATTTATAGTATTTTAATACTATAATTTTTACCGTAGGCATATGTGCAGGTATTGTACATAATTGTTATTGCTCTATATAATAAAACATACTGGAAAATCTAGCTGCGTATTTCTTATATTTAATTTAAGCGACAGAATTAAAAAAATTCCATAAATTATACCTTATTAGGAAAACTGAGTTTGGTTGTTTCCTCTCAGAGTATGGCTATTTTAGACATTATAGCATAGGATCTTTCGGACCCTGCAGGATCATTTTCATTGGCTCTCGATAATGAATTATACATATCGTAGACCCCGAGCGGGCCACCTATACCGTGAGCATTCTCAATATAATTATAGCAATTTTTATATCGACACAGTAAAATATGGACATATGCATGCTAATCTGTATTTTTCTGAACTCCTACGGCAGAAATCCAAGAGAAATTCATTTCTAAAAACATCTTTGTTCCATAAATAAGAGATATAAGTTGCAGTAGGTTTTTGCTTGAGCCAATTTATTATGATCATGATTGGAAGGTTTGTTTTACACCCTTTTATTTTAATTAATTAAAAAATTATCGAGTAAATTGGTCACTTTCCTTTAATAATCGCATTAGTATTCAATGAGCTTATTTTAGCATCGTAACTTAATACTATATTTACGAGACAAACGCCTGAACTTCTATTGTTGACAATTTTCTTCCTCACGTACGGCTTTTGTGCTGGTCGAGTTTATCCGCGATACAAAAATTCGACAAACGACGTTCGCGTAATCTACGTTCGCAGCCTCTCTGGGTGACATTGTCAAGAGGTGCTGATAATATCTTGTCCAACAAACGACTATCGAGAACCTGTTCATCAAACGCCATATGAAAAATCATCCAGCTCTGCGCAAGTTAATGTAATGTAGTCCAAATACTCCTGCTGTTCCTAGATCTGTTCTAAAATCTCCATTTTTAAATTGGCGACGCTACATGTAAAGTTTTCGCGATCTTCGTTGCTTAGCTCTTCACGTTCCAAGAATGTTGTCGCTCTGTGGGGTGAGTGGTAATGGCAATGATAACGAGAGTAATTGTTTAAGGCGCGTTTCATATTATGGTTAAGCCTTTAAACAGATGGTCTTGCTAACATATGCTTTCCTTTCTTTCCACATAGTTTCCACATAGTCTCCTACAGAAAAGATCAACCTAGATCATATCAATTTATCTTTATAACAAAATAAAATTTCCAGCGCAAGGCGGCTTCGTAAATCCATCACCCTCACAATGCCCTTGCTCTAGGCCTTAAGTAGTAAGTCTTGAACGACAACATTCCCCAGTTTTATAACCATCTCTCCTTTGGCAATGCTTAGGTCAGTCGACTCGTGATGAATAGCTGGCTGTCAACGAGTACAAAACAAACAGTTCAAAAGTAATATAGCTTTTACCTATAGAGAACTATTAGAGTCATACACAGTTTCACCATAACATTACGTCGCAAAGAACCACTCATACGAAGCTGCTAGGTTAACGAGCCTGACGATGTTACAAATGAGAATAATAAGGATGGTCTTTGTTTATGAGTTTTGCAGTACATTTCATTGTGTACACACTAAAAAAAAGGATCCAGACAACATTATATCACGCTTTTTATTGGGTCCTCTGAGATGTGTGTTCGTAGTTCAGTTCTACTGTTTGTAGTAACAATAGAACGATGTGGGGTATTGGCACCATGTCCCTAAACATTTCATCGGACTTCGAAGAGGCAAAGACCTAAGGCAGCTATCAGTATGGCCATTTTATTTGTTTTGCGACAGGGTGCAATCAATAATGACCTTGATAGCTCCTTCAACACCCGTTCTGGTTGTTTCAAAGGCGCGGTGCGCTTCTTCCAGCGGGAAGCGATGAGTAATAAGTGGCTTGACGTTAACCCGGCCGCTCGAAATCAACTCAATCGCTGTCGGATAACTGGAACATTTTGCAAATAAATTACAATGTAAAATAGCATACGAATATTCGATTAAAGATATTAAGTCTGATTAAAACGCTTTTTAGACCTATCTATTAAAGCGCGCTGATCGCAGCTCTCGGCTCCATTGAAGGCAGCTATAAACTATCGTCTACGAAGAAGATCTTCGCTTAGAAGACTGCAGCAAAATCGTAACACATTTGACGCCGGTACATTATTGGTGCTGTGACAGTTTATATATTCGATATACCTGTTATATAGCTCTGGCGTTATTTATTGGCGAGGAAGACTGTAAATCAGTTGACTCGCCATTCCTTTCCTTGTTCTTCCTGAAATTCGCTTCTGGTAATCAAGCTCGATAGGGTTCTTTCTATTGCTTGGTAAGATTCGGACTGCTATTAAAAATGCAATCTTTTACTCTTACTCTACTTTAACTTACGACCTTAATACAGCCATTGGGTTGACAAACTCAGAACACTCATGTGTCTACCATGTGCGTAACGCAAGATTCGACTTTTTTCTATCAGACTCTTTGATATTCTTAGCGCAGCTGTCAGAGCTGCTCGCCTCATGCTTTTTCAATGTTGTTGTATTGAAAATCCTCCAGCTAACAATAGAAATCATATAGGAGCTGTGAGAACTCATTTGCAGTTGCTAACGCCTGAATCCTTTCGCCAAGCATGTCCTGGGTAGCCGAGGGAGATGCATATGGCCCATCCTACTAGTAGTATTACATAGGGCAACTGACCACACTAATTATTTGTTACATAATTTTGTCGACTTATGCAACATTTTCGACTAAGTTAGTCGACTTGGTAAGTCTAACGGTGACAGATATGTATATTATCTATAGTACTTGTGCACTATATGCCCTGTTAAGTGGAGAACGCAACTCTTCCATACGTATGGCATTTCCTAACTTACTTGTCACTGCTGTAAATAATACAAGCGACGCTTGTTTTTCCACCACCGCAAAAGCGGTTATTTCTGCTTATTCGTAATGTTTGCAAAAGTATTGCCGATAAAGCCGTCTATTCTGATTCCATGTCGGGGCTATCGGTACTTCCCAACATTATTTTGATTTTGCAACTGCTTAATGGTCCGCTGCAGACAACTCAAACGACAGATGGATCAGACCAGAATACTTCTGCCAGCGAAACTGACAAAGCTAAACTTTGCCGGCTTCGAAACGATGCGCGATGGGATGTCTAAATTGTTATTTGACTTGTTGTTGCTGCTGCTGCTGCTGTTGTTGTTATTATTATTGTTCGAGGCAGTTGGTCGTATCCTACCTATCTACCAGGAGGCCTACCTAGATTTTTGAGTTAATGTCTGATCTCTTGAAAGCCTAATAAAGGCTACGCTATTCCTAAAATTCAAACTAAACTAAAATGTTCTTGTATAGCTAAAAGTATTCTATTAAACAGGTCGTAAGTGTAAAATTCGGGTTAATAGCCAAGAGGGCAATACATTGACACATACATGATTGCTTCTTCTGTAGAAAGGTGGCTCGCAACGAGCTAAAAAACGAGTGAGATGTCCAAAGATTCTGAAGATTCGGATTGGTCACGATACATCTTGCACTGCCCCTACGTATAAATCTGTTTTGGGGTCTGTTAAGTGCTTCGATGTTCCCAGTTTAAAGTACCACGGCTCCGAGAAATACACGAAGTTGGAAATTTTTTAATTTGTTCTATATATATACGGAAGAGGCGGATATATATATATATATATATATATATATATATATATATATATAATATAATAAAGATATATATATCTTAGCCTTTTCTGTAAGGAAGCAGCAGAAATTGCACTCTTTACAACTACAGTAATTATAAATCGGAATTAAGAAGTTAGTCAAAGACAATTTCTAAACACGAAGTGGACTTACGTTTGGGTATAAAGTCATCTTCAGATATGTCTGCATGAGCGTTGGTGACGTTCATTTTTATCAATAGCCTCGCAGGAAGGAAGACATAGCCAGTATAAGTTTCTTAGGAATTAGCATAAGTAATTTTTCTACAGAAAGGGAGCAAAAGTTGAGTAAAAAACGCGTTGAGGGCTAAAAGCTGTCGTAACTCCCGATTCCGCATCCCATCCTCGTCATAGGGTTAAATGCAGACACTCAAAGAGAAGAAGGAACGTGTGCGGATGGGACTTACGGGAGAAGGAAAGATGACGTAGGTGGTACCAAACGACAACAAAGCGCAAACGCCTTTCGTTGTTCGCTGCTTTCTTGTCCGTGTGTCTTCAGGCTTCCCTGATATCCTCCGAGGATCATGTTTCTTGCCTGCTTCGTCTAAGCACTAGTGTAACCGTCCTATGATTCAACACGGTAGCCATTTTGGCCGACGGAGCACAAAGACTTATAGGCTGCTACCCCGTAGCAGAATGGAGGCTTTCATGACTACTAAAGGTATCGATGCATAAAAGGGATCGTTCTAACTTTCATCAAAGCCAGATTTCGACAGTTTTCCGTTTCATTGTTTGTTCACGACTAGCGCCCCATTTATCTAACCACCAGGCGGAAATTAAGTCGAAAGTCTGCCGCTGATATTTACATAGGAAACTATATAGGGAAATGGACGAAAATCTCCTTTTAAATCTTTGAGTAAGCCAAGACATCTTCTGTTAACTGCAGTTTTCTGGAGCCTCTGCCGTAGAGATGAGCTGTGCGCTTCTTGTGGATAGAACTTGAGCCGCGCCTGTATACAACTTTGAAGGATATAGTGTTCGCAAGATTGTAGAAGGCCTATGTGGAAACGCGCATATTATATCACATTGTGTTGGAACATGGCGTGCAGGCCTCAGTAAAACCGATGAGAAGTCATCGATGATCGATAAACCCTTGGCAGTTCCAGAAACATCATCTATCCAAAAAAGATAAGCAATCCCATAAATGAAGGGGGCTGAACTAGTAATAAGCTAGTAATTTTATTTATTTGCGTCAATTTCTAAAATTGGGCTGTGTTTGACTAGGAACACAACGGGGATTGCAACAGCATTTTTGGGAAAATATGCACGAACGAATATTTTAACTTTGTGGAAAATAAATTTCATTTTGTTAGGCGACAATTCTCAGTCGATGAACGCAGTTTCAATGTATCCTGCTAATTACGAGCCCAAGCTGTAACGTTTAGTATTTGGGTCTAAATCCTAATCACTTTAAAGTTTTGTCCATGGTTACAACTTGACGTATTGACAAAATTCAATATTATTCTAAGAATAGAAATACGAACAGGTACACCCCTTGCCGGGCTTTCCTTTTTAATATTTTTTAGCTGTTTTTAGGTGTGACTGTGGTATCTCGTGCTACTAGTCTCAACGGTATAAAAACTGGCTGTCTATTTGAAATGCTTGAACTCAAGTAATAGTTCATGTACCTTCTAAAGTTACTCAGCTGGCTGTCCGTGAAAGGTTCCAACGCCATGTTGATTGCTACAAAACGTATCTGTAGAATAGCTTTATTAAATTACTTACCGATATTTTCCCGATTATACTTATATATACTGTAATGAAGACGCCAATTCAAAATAGATTAGGCCTAACCTACGAGATTCTATGAAACGACAGCATTATACTTGAAAACGTCAGATTGCGTAAGATTCGTTGTGAACGGAAAGTAGTAATGTAGTAAGTACATACGTGTAGGTATGCATTTAGTTTCGAACGCTGTCGCTCTTTCATTCAAGCAATATCTGACCAGAGTACAAATACAATGTATCGTGTGGTTTTTACTATTTATCCAATGGGGATAGCATTATCTACTCGACGATTGTTGGCGCGTACCAAAAAAAAGATGATCTGGCGAGACCAGAAGGTGCCAGATCTAATGTACATTATATATATAGAGTTCTGCAAAGAGCAGAAGAAACGAGTTCACGGGATAGTCTGTTGCTAGGTTGATTACGTCCAGTACGAGACGGTATCGCACCTGGCGTGACAGCGAAAATGTCGTCACTGCTCTAATTATAACCCAACACTGAAGGACCTGTACTCATAATATCTATGTCGATATCTAGTCTTTCATTGGTGCTCGACTTCAAAAATAAGCAGAAGCCGCAGAAATACATTCGTTATAATGACCAATTTCGACTCCTCTGGGGAGACCAATATAGAGCATCTGACGACCGATAAGTTCCATGATTCTGTTGTTAAATTCTGTTGTAAAGTTTGCCCATGCATGGATACCTATACTCCGCGTATATCTCCAAGGTTCAAGCCTGGACGTTCTGAAATATCCTATTTCCCAATTTTTAGCCGTTCTGAGTTCGTAGCTCCTAACTTCGCCTCTGCTCAGAGCACCTCTAGCAAAACTGCGTTAGGTCTAATCGTTTCATTTGATAAATAATCTCATGCGCTCAAAAATACAACTATTTTGAGGCTGTGGTTTTTATCTACAAACTGTCCTTTCATTATCCGATAAATAGTCTAATCATCAAAGGACTATGTATAATATATTTTGTGCTGATCATAATTATAGTGGTCGTGACGTTAGAGTTGTATGCCATTTTTGCAAAGATGGCGTATTTTGGACATCCGCGCAAGACGTTTTTAATGATATGACTTTTTTAGAAAGAGTATTCCTTCACAATAAGGAGACAAAGGCAGAGACTGCATGGCTACGAAGTTAAGCTCTCGAATTTTATGGCTCCCGTAATAAGCCAGAAGCTTTGAGACAGTTCAGGACAAGGGTCGGACAAAAAATAATTCAAGCTATTTTTTGGCGACGAAACAAACAACTAGGTCATCTCGACAGATGTCCCAAAACGAAATCTCTGCATATAGACCTGAGAGATAGCCCCTAGGATAGATTCTCAGCCTCCACGAATACGTTTGCTAAACTTGTTCTTCTTTATGTATTGTTCCGACCAGTGCAGTTATACCAAAACATTTCTTAAGCATTTTTTTTAAAAGATCCTTTATAAACAGACCGACTTTTTTTCATATTTGAATTTAGGCGCTCTTCGTAAAGAAGAAAACATTTTCTGTACTCCTTAAATTCTAACTACAGGCTTATGGGCGAAGCTATCAGATCGCAACGTTTTGATTTCCGTGACCGGAAGGTCAACCTTCGAATTTTCAACCTCTATCACTGTTGCTATAACTTCACATTGATCCTTCCAAGGCCCGCCTGACCTTTAAAATTTGCGCTTTGTTGAAACAAAAGTCTGCCCGACCCATTTGTGTTGCAACAAAAATGTACTGACAGCTCTATAGTAAGGCACTCGTGATATGGATGTAGAGGTGCATCCGTTAACCAGTTTTACTTTTAATTTAAAAGCATATCGAAAGACCCGCTATATGCGTTTTTATTTATGTTTCCATTAAATTTTTTTTTTACTTTACCATCAAGGGGCGTCGCGTTTTCTCACAGTTAGGAAACGGTGATTTGAAATGCTAACACTAACATTCGGAATTAGATACGCACGGGTGAGAAAATTTTTCAATTCACGTTACAATATTTTAGCTTTTTAGAACTTTCGGCAACATTAAAGGTGTATTTTCAATTCCAAAAACAAAGCAAGTTACGTTTTACAAAAGCTATTGTGTTTTATAACTAGCCTGATGGTTATATTAGTCAATAATATATATTCGGCCATATAGAATATCGTCAATATTGCACGGAGTAGTTTGGGGAATCAAAACAACCTCTCCGTACAACTCACTGTAATCAACCCATATGTATGTCTGTGTCATGCTAAATTAGCGTATTTTATCCCCGTGCTTATATGCCACACTTCTTTGTTTTTTGAATTGACCTGTTGAACTTAGTCACCAGCACAATGAAACAACCGTACTCTCATAGCGCATTGCGGAGAACCCACAGGCTTGCTGACAGATGTATCAAACCCCTAAATGTATTATATTTTTAAATGTCATTCATGGTCATAAATGACTTGTTCGGTTGATGAGCGCTCGATACACAAACAATGTGTTCTGATGCCCCTGATCTGGCACCCTTAAAATCAGACCCGCTTCAATTACGTAGATGTTCGCTACAGTTAAACGTACCGGACGGTAGACATCGCAACCTGCCTACAGGGAAAGATTGAATGATGGCGTTGTTAGCACAACACGATCAGCTTTTCTTACAGAAATCCAACAAAGAAGGCGGCCAAATATTTCCTTGATGATGTCTTACATTTCTCTCATCAGTTTGAACGAGGTGTCCATTCTGATGTCAATGGACCCTCCGGAAGTAATTATGCCTAACAGAACGAGACTAATTGCCCAAACAAAAAAAAAAAACGCAATATTCTTGTTACAATGTTCGCCTTCGTACCTACGAGTGAATACATAGTTCCGCTTCCTGTTTTGCGCTTTAAAGAACATAGATACGCTAGTGGCCGTACCGATTCGAAGCCAAGGTTCTTCAAACCCATCCGGATGAAATACTTCAAAGACTACCTTAAACATTTCATCACGAACGCTCGCTGTTCTTTGGAGATGCCACGTCTACTAATCGTTGATAATCGGCAGACTCACATAGGCGATCAAGTTGGCTCTAGAAAACGACGTTCTCATCGTTACGCTTCCTTCACATCGCTACAACCCCTAGACATAGCGCTTGTTATTCAAAGCTGAACTTCGTACAGCTCGAGAGAAACGGTACTTTGTTACTAGTTAAAGTAAAGAGATCATAATATTTGAAATAATCATTGTCGATACGAGAAGCCGTCTAAGAAATCACTTGTGGTAAATACAGTTAGAGGAGTTCAGAAGATATTTCTGTTAACCGAAAACGCTGACAAGACAATTTAGTGGCATAGAGTGATGACCGGCCGAGGCGGTCAGGACATCAGTGTCACAGAAATAAGAGTGTCTGTTACTGGTTTGCTGCCCCCTGCCAAAACTCCCATCCCTTGTTCTTAGAAAGCAATATTCATGGCTCAAGGCCATGGGCCTCTTCGCTTCAAGTGGTCGACGGAATCGATTACATTCAACTATGTTGTCCAAATAAAGGTGCTACTCGATTGTATATTGGTATCTGTTTTCTTTGCGGGAACAATTAATATTTACGGTTTGTTAAACTAAGATCTGACCGCCCCAGTAACTCTAATTGGCTTTTTGCACCGAATCATTAGCGTCTTATGCAGCCTCGTCTAATGGGGGATTATATGGGTCAACGACCAAGTGTCTTTGCTGATTCAAAATATACGGTATGAACTCTGTTAGTGTATTACCTAGTCACTTTTTATATATGAAATCATTATGCAGATAAGCAATCAACTCACCAGTTACGGTATCTAAAAACGCCAAGTATGTTAAGCTCCTTAATTGCCGCTTCAACGAGTGGGACGTTTACCTCATCCGGCCCCATGCCTACCAGACTCACAGATCCTCCCTGATTAGTTGCCTGCAAGAAACAACGCAATGTTTTTCAACATGCGATTTCATATGATACGGACTGCAGAGCCATGAAGAATTAATGAATAAGGAATAATAAACAAAGTCAGGAAACAAGTAGAACTTATATAGGACGTTGGATGGTAAGAAAAATTCACTAGTAGGTGGCAAAGAAAGATAAGCCAATCAATGAGTATGAGGAGACTTGCTTTCTCCTCGCCTTTTTCCGGTTTTACAAAGTGTAATAGATCCAAATTTCATTATGTATCTAATATGTCTTGTTCCTTTCGTGCGAATAGACCTCGCGAAGTTTTATTACCTCGCATTTCGATTCTGCTATAAATAAAGGTTCCTTTATGTGGTCAAAGATATTGTGAAGCTTCTGGGCTGGGATCGTTTCTAATATCACTCTTGGTACTAAAAACTTAACTCAGTTACTCTTGATATTAGAAACGATCCTAGCCAAGAACCTCCATAATATCTTTGACCACATTCAAAGAATCTTTATTTATAGCAGAATCGAAACGCCGAAAACTAAAAAATATTTTATGAGGTTGAAATGACGGTCAAAAAGAACAAAGCTGAATTTGGCAAACACAGCGTTCGTAGTCTGCGTAGCTCAAAATAATTTAAGCTCTTCTTAAAAACTTTCGTACCCTAATAAAGAAGTCCTAAATTACTAGTTACTAAAAACCTAATAATCTTTTTAGCGAAAGAAAAGGTTGGTTATTCTATGTTTTTACGTAGCGAATTATCCCCGGGACATGTCATACTACAAAGCTTTACCGGCCAGTCCTTCATAGACCTCATGTGCTCACACATCAATGTTTGAGTGTAGTATCACCAATTTATGTTACAGCTCCAAAGAAATTGTCCGGCGGACATCCCTGTGGAGTGCGGTAATTTTCCGAGGGAACGAGTTACCAATTGCGGGCCACGACGGACAGTAAGTGTCACAGCTTCAAGCAGCAGCTCCTAATGGCAGGTAGTCGCCTAACGGCTCGTTGCAAAGGATCTGTTAGGCACGTCAATGACAAGTGGCAATGCGTAGATCCACCATCACGACCCATAAGATCTGTCAGGAATAGGCGTGCTTCGAAGAGCGATTTTCTAGATGACGCGTGGTAGGTTGCTTCCTGTGCGCTTTATAGCAGTACTTTTTCGGATTTTCAATAGAGAGTAGAGACGTAAAAGATAACCGGATATTGACTGTTTCCAATCACCTAGGCTTAGACTAAATCTTATAGGGAAGGCAGAAAGCATTTCGGTTATGTATTTGAGGTTGATGCGGACTTAAGATGTCCAACGTTATCCACAGAAAATCGGATATTAAAACACACCCGCATTTTCCAAACTCTAGTTTTGGTTACCGGTTTACACTCCACCATGTAAAGCCAATACTTCAAAAAATACCTTCATATTATCATCTATCAAAAAATAGTATTTTGTTTACTTTATGCGCAATTGCGTTGCTATGGAGCAGTGCCCGAATCTGCTTAGCAAGGGCAATCTAACAAACAATCCATACTAAATTTTTTCGTGCGAGAGAAACCCCGTCGGCGATTCTCTAAATCACAACGGCAGCCGATAAATTGCTTTGACAAGCCAGCTTACTCGGCTACTTCACACCTGTAGCGAGGTTGTTAATTTTTGGTAGAGGAAGGTTTGTGAAAATCTAGTTTGTTATTTTTTTACGTCTCTCGTGTTTCCGGAAACGATCCGATATCAGCTGGTAACGCTAGTAAAAAAATCTTATAATACATCATCGTTCATGAAAGAAAACCAAAAAAATGATAACTCTTTGCTTCAAGTCAACCAATACACTAAATGGTTCTTCCTGAATGTGTAACCAGTTAATGCTTCTTAAATATAAATTTATATTTAATAAAAACAAGGACCATTATTCCATATGTGCATATATAAGGGACTTTATCCAATAGATATTATGTTCAACTCAAGTGAATATCCGAGTAATAAATGCAATGCATTTCTTATTATTAGGAAGATGAGGACCCTTGCTTTCGTAAAACATGTTCACCTGTCCTGAAAACCACGGACGCTAGGATACTTCAAACCAACAATTTTTATATGCACATTTAAGTTTTCAGTTAGTTGTTCTGCTGGACCCCTGTTTATA